CACTGTCACTTGGATGTGCACATTACTTGGGGTTTGGCCATGGCATTCCTTGTGGAAAATGGAGTTACTGAATTAGAAGCAGTAGAGGAGCCTCCAGTTGACCTTCCTGTTTGTTAACACCTGCTATCCACAACACTACAGAAATCATTTTGAATATTTTAGTTTATATCAATTATATTGTCTTTTTTTTTTTGCTTAATTAATAGTCTCTTAATTTTTTATTGAGTTAAGATGGTGCCAACACTTGCAAGTCAAGGCACCATCTAGATGTTGCAGATATATATACTGTATTCTTTCAAGTCCAACAATTAATAGAGATGATTTGATTTCAGAATAATTTTTCACTGTCTAATAATTTGCTACAAATTTTCTATTATATTAAGAATTTGCGGTAACAATATTACAGTGCTTCAGTACTGGTCTTCAACTACGATCCTTTGAACTAAGGGCTAGTTTCAAATATGTACAATAAAAAAAATTAGTTTACAATATTTGTAGCCATATTTTATTTACATAAAAAAATAGCCAAAAGACATAAGAAATATACATTGACTATATAATATAGGCTATAACTTATTCATACATGAGCTATACACAGACTATATAATATGATACAATCAAAAAGCTGAATATAACTTAGATATACATGAAGTATACATTGATTATTCAATCTCGATCAATTCAAAATCACCTTTGCGGTATGTCAAATTTTATTTTTTTATTTTTTTAAAGAGGAAGAAGAAGATGAAGAGACGACGAAGAAGAAGGATGAACATGCCTAATCTTGAAAGATAAAAGTGTCGAATGATTACTTATTGTAATATAAGTGACTTACTTTCCATTTGGATTGGCTTGAAAGTTGGTCAAACCTATTTTTAAGTCAGTTTTTGACTTGTGTTTGGCAAATATAAAAAAATAACTTAAAATAAGTAAAAAAATGACTTAAAATAAGTTAGGAAGTGTTTGGCAAGGTAAAAAATGACTAATAATAAGTTAAAAATGACTTAAAATAAGTCAGAAACAAAAAGTAGGTCTCCCCCTACTTTTTATTTTTTGACTTAAAAATCATTTCAGTTTGACTTTTTATTTTTGACTTAAAAGTTACTTTTTTATGTCAATCCAAACAGGCTCTTATTCATTTTAGGAAAAATTACGTGGTTAAGCAAACTTATACTACTTAATTACTCATTATAGCTATAGTTTGCTATAATTACCACTCGCGACTAATATTAATCATTAATTACATGGGCTGACTTCGAGTTTGTATAATTAGTCACGTTAGTATATGTATAATTCGCAACTAACAATTCTTTGTTTGATTTGTATTTGTATACGATGATTTGTATTTGTATATGACGCTGATTTTCCCTTTGGTTTTTCAGTTTTTGTCATCATATACATTCAATTTTTTTTGTGTTATAACTTTTTAAAGTTTGTATAAACGTATAGTTTTCGTATTTTGTATAATATAATTTATACAATGTAATTTGTATAATATATTTTATATAATCGTTTAAATTCCATATGTTTATGTTTGTATCAATTCGTTATTTCGAGTTTTATCATTTTTGTATAATTTCAGACTTTATATTACTCAATTATACAAAAACACGCGAATTATACAAACATACCTGCGAATTATATAAATTATTGTCCTCTCTCGCTCGCCTCTCTCCTCTCTCTCCCAATCTCGCTCGCCAGAATATACAAATACATATGTATAATATACAATTATCTAACCGATATGCATATACAATTCACCTATCTCCCACTCTCTCGCTCGCCTCTCTTCTCCCTCTCCCAGTCTCGCTCGCCACTCTCCTCCCTATAACATGTAGCTACGAATCGTAATTAACAAACTATAGCTATGGAACGTAATTAGGTTATTTTTGAGTGGCTATATGCGAAAGTTCCTCTTTATGATCATCCTCTTCTTCACCAATCACCCTCACCTTCCCAAATGATAGATCCTGAAAAACACAACATTTTGAAAAGAAAGTGACACAACAGTTCAAGTCTTTTGTCACTTGTGAGACTAACATGAGATTGAACTTGAATGCTAGATTGCTAGTACACAGAGAACATTTCTAAGAATATCACATCCTCCTATGTGGCAGTCTCCAATATGTGAAACCTTAGTAGAATCACATGTGGGCAACTGAACTTGATCTGCATTTTTTATCAAACCTTGATGATGTAAACATACAGGATTACGTGAGAGACACTAGTGGTTTGATCCAACATCCTGAGTAGTTTTTAATGTTGACTTGGAGTGAACATTGGCATGGGATGATTCATAGGAGGAGATTGATGATGTGGATATGGAGTGTGAGGATGACAGTACTGGTTAGGTGGAGGCATGTTAGGTTGATAGTGCTGGAAATGAGGTGGAGTCCTTGTAGCCTATGTGTTGAGAGGCCTTGCATTGAAAACATAATTCCCAGCTACACCGACCTCTCTTTTACCTTTGTAGTTGGGTGGATACCCAATCAACCTAAAACAATCAATTTTGAGATGTCCAGACTTGAGATGTCCACATTTCAGTAGCTTATGGCACTCAGTTGTCATATGTCCTTTCACATGACAAAAATCACAAAAAACATTAGAAATATAGGGCCTTTTAGACTTCTAATTACCAGGACCAAACCTAGAAATGAACATTGCAGTAGGAGTCATGATTTCAGATATCATTCTACTTGATCTTACAACTATCTTTTGACTTTCAGATTAATCATGGCATAAGCCTGGTTGACACTAGGAAGTTGTGGCATCAATAAAATTTGACCCCTAGCCTGACTATAGTTATCATTAAGTTCCATGAGGAACTACAACATTCTTTGATATTGTAGATGTTAAAAAAACTCGCTAGATTTAGAATAACTACATGCCGAAGGAGGCATAATAGAGTCACACTCATCCCATAGGTCCTTTAGTCTAGAGTAATCAAATGAAACATGGGTGACTTATTGAACAAGAGTGAAAATCTCTTTGTGCAATTGAAAAATTCGAGAACTATTAACCTTGTGAAATCTCTCCTGTAGATCTTCCTAGATCAGGTGAGTATCTGAGCAAAAAAGGACTCCACTATGCAGATTCTTGCTAACATTGCATAGTATCCATGAAACAACAATTGCATTGCATCGATCTCAAAGTCGAGCTAAATCCCTCGTGTATTGATCCCTCTTCAGTGTGCCATCGATGAAACCAACTTTGTTCTTCCCAAGTAAGACCAACTGCATAGTTTTGCTCCACCAAGTGTGATTATCACTTTCGGTGAGCAAAATGCCAACATTGAGTGATCCTGGCGCATCTGATAGGTGCAAACACATTGGATGAAGGTGATCAATAGTAGTAATGTCCATGGAATTTCCTAATTGAGTCCCAACAATAACTCCAGGAGTGTCCATGAAATCAAAGAAAACAAAGTAAAACAAGGAAAAAAACAACTGCAAATTCACAAAATGAAGCTAAGAAACAATGAAATTCTTCACTGCTTGTGCAAGAATTCTTCAAATGCAAGCTCCAATGGCTCTGATACCATGTTAAATTAGGTCTTGGGCCTAACTCACACCCCAAAAGTTAGCTCAAAGGGAGGAGGATTGTTCAAACCTTATAAGGAGTTCACCCATCTCATTAACCATCAATATGGACTTTTGTTATTCTTTAACACCCCAACTCACGCCTAGTGCTTAGCATTTGGTGCGTGGGCGATTTTGTTTTTGCCCCCCCGCCCCCCCACATTGGGTGATATGGAACCTAGCTCTGATATCATGTTAAGTTTGTGAAATCTAGAATGAAACTTGATGAAATTGAGCTAACTATGAAGAAAAGAAGGATCCAGAAGATCATAGAGAGAATTAGTTTCATTGAATTGAATTCCAATATGTAATGCATTGGCACATAAATACAATGTGTTTGCTCAGATCTAACCGACTTAGTTAGTTATAACTAACTATAACTAATTCACTGACACCTTAACTAACTATAACAAACTTTGCTTGCACTATTCACAACATGTGCATAATAAAACACAATTATTTAATTTCAGCAGACTTCTTTGGAAAAATTATTGAGTGTATCTATTTTGAGAAATTTATGGTGCTAATATAGAGATTTTATTTAGGGGAGTAAATAAGAGAGGGAAACATTATTAGCTTCTATTCTTACTCTTTAATTTATGGGTGATCTATGATGCTAAAATCATTAACTCGAAACGCGTGAAACATTATTTAGTGCCAACTTTTTAAAACTTGAGTAATGTACATTAATTTGGTGTCTTAGCTATTAGAGTATCATAGATTTTGTTTAAATATGAAAAAATTATTGATATGAAATATTTTTTTCGAATGAGGTTCAGTGTGAATTCTAGTTTGTCAAATTATAATGTGGTGTTTTATTTTAGTAAGAAGTGCCAACTTTTTGATCCATATGATTTACCAAATCATAAGTATCTACTTGCAACTTGCAAAACTATTGGCTCCGTTATTTTGTTCCCTAATAAATAATTTAGACCAATCGCTAACCGAGGGGTATAAAGGTAATTAAGCTGACTATTGAGGTTTAATAAATATCCTGAGAGGTCAAAATAGGAAATTTACAAAAAAGTATAGAACGAGTGGTTCGCGAAGGTTCAGGTGACACGTGCTGAATCCCGCGGCATCCCAACAGCCACGAACTCGATTAAATAATTGCCACGTCACCATATTGAGAGATTTTTAAATAAAATAAATAGACTCCCTCTGTCCAGTTTATATGATTTACGTTAAAAAATGTCTATCACTTATTTTATTTTTGATCTGATTTTTCGTTAAAAAAATTCATAAATTCTCTGTCGAGTTAAACTAAGTCATATAATATAGATGGAGGAAGTGGAACGAAATCATATAAAATGGGACGGAGAGTATAAGGTAAGGAGTAGAGTAGATATACTAGAAATATCTAGAGACGGCTATAAATACTCTAGTAGCTCTGTTACTAACAGATTTCTGATTCTCATCATTCTCTACAAAGCTTTTATCAGAGAAAAAAAAAACAACTTGAAGAAGTCACCAATTTGATCAATTCATTTATAAAAAAACACAGAAGAAAAGAGGTATGTAGCCTAATCTCATTCATTCAATTCATCTATATGTGATTAGTTTGGTTAGATCAGTCTTTCTTTTCTTGCTTCTTTTTTCTCTTTTCTTGATTTTTTATTCCACACTTGTTAGTTTGAGAAAATTTAGAGTCTTGTGTTTCCGTTTACATTGCTCTTAATGATGAGTATTTTTTAGGATTGTATAATTAATTATATTTGTGGCATGCATAGTTTTGTATGTAATGAATGTTTTGCCTTGTTACAGAAATGGCTATTATGGATCAAGCTGCTAATATGGCTACTCTGCCGTTGGATTATAGTGGAAAGAGGAAATCAAGGAGTAGAAGGGACAGAACAAAGAATGTGGAAGAGAGACTAGCTAAATGGAAAGAGTATAATGAGAAACTAGATAGTGTTGATGATGAAGGGAAGCCAGTGCGTAAAGTTCCTGCTAAAGGTTCAAAGAAGGGGTGTATGAGAGGTAAAGGGGGACCCGAAAATTCGCGGTGTAAATACAGAGGTGTTAGACAGAGGATATGGGGTAAATGGGTTGCTGAGATTAGGGAACCTAAAAGAGGTAGTAGGCTATGGTTGGGTACATTTGGTACAGCAATTGAAGCTGCTCTAGCATATGATGAAGCAGCAAGAGCTATGTATGGTCCTTGTGCAAGGCTGAATTTGCCAAATTACCCTTCTAGGGATGATTCTGATTCTGCTTCCTGGGCTACTACATCTGCATCTGATTGTACGGTTGCTTCCGGTGGTTTCGGCGGCGAGGTATGTCCGGGTGAGGGTGCAACAACTGCAGCTGGCACACCATTGAGTTCAGTGAAAGACGAAGGAAAGGACGAGACCGCGGGGTTGCCTGGTGAGATGGAAATTGTTGAACCTACAAGTATTGATCAAGATACGCTCAAGTCTGGATGGGATTGTCTAGATAACTTAAATTTGGATGAGATGTTTGATGTAGATGAGCTATTGGCTATGTTAGATTCTACTCCAGTTTCCACCAATGACTTCGGTTCAGATGGAAAGCAATATGCCTACGACAACAATTTGTTATCAAATTCGCCATGTCAGCCGCTGGGAGATCCACAGGAAATGGGGCAGGAGGCACCTATGACATTTGACTATGCCTTTGATTTTCTGAAACCAGGCCGGCAAGAAGATCTTAATTTCAATTCGGATGACCTTACATTCATGGACTTGGATTCTGAACTTGTGGTTTGAAAGTTTACGCAGCAAGATACATGGTACCGTCGTTGACTGAGATATAGGATGTGAGGAAGAGAAAACTAGAGATGTTGAGTTTGGACAATGTTTTGGTATCGTTTATTTTTTTTTTATATTATGTTGGGCAGCATTGGTTGCCCTTTTTCCCAGGCCAGCTGATTCTCGGTAAGTTTTTGCATCCAAGAATTATGCATTTGGTGTTCTGGAGGACTAATCTTGTACAGATCTAACCTGCCTAGTGAGTCAACAATTAGTTCGTTTTGGTGTTGTGATTGATACCACAAATAAATAAAGATGTTTCTGGGAGCTATTTGTTTGTTGTAAAGTTTGGTTGACACTTGAGGTACTGGTTTTTGTGCTTTGATTGGAACAATGTAGAATGCATTGCCAGCATTTATACTTCATTCATAACTTGACCAATAACTTCTGTAGTGTGTATTTGTGAAGTATTCACAAGGGATTTGCCAATGAATATTGTGTTGTTTTGTGAAGTGTTTCGAGTGGATCAGAGAAGTATTTGCAGTAAGGAGAAGAGCAAATATATGGGGATGAAAACAGTGGTGCGATACAGCGTTTTATGTTAGCCCTCATCCATAACTTGGTAGATTTTACTGCTTGTGTAGTTCTGTTTTGCACTTCGGCTTTTGTATCTCTATAATAAGTTTCAGTCAGGATGTAATATACGTTTTGAGACGTTCTAGTCCATGTTCTTTTTTACATTGTAATTCAATAAATTGTTTGGATTGTAATCTTAGATGTGAAATGTAGTTGTTCTATCAAACTAACTCTTCAAAAAGAAGCAGAAGAAACCCAAGCTTTGTCAGCTCTAGATTAGCAGTTCTCTTCTACTTTCAGTCTTTCACTATTGAGCCATCAATATGGGTTAGGCCGGTTATGCTCGTCTAGTCTAACAAGTGATTTGATAGGGTTCGGTTAAGATTTTTGGATCCCATTGAAGAAAAAAAAAAATTAGTCCGATCTGAATAAGTTTGCTGATTTGTGGAGCTTGAAAAATATGGATAGGGTCGGCCCGTGGGCTAAATAAAAATAAATAATTAGGTTATATTTAGCTATTTTTATTTTTACTTGAAATCAAACTTAATAAATATTATAAATATAATTTTATTTGTGGATTTCACTAACAGTCTAACACCATGCATGTAATATTGTCTTGTCGATATTTAATATTTTTAAATTATAATTTGATTTAAAAAATTATAAGAAATATATTTTTTAAAAAGGTGGGCCGGCATAACCTGTAGCCCACGTACTTATGGATTGGCTGATCATTTTGACAAAAAAAATGGGTCAACCCAGTTTGACTCGTCAAATTTCAAAGCCTGTATGGATTAACCCAGATGAGATTGACTAACTAATTCTGACCGCTCTAATTCAAATATATACAAATTAAATTAATATGTTACTTTATATCTCATCAAATACCATTGTAAAAATTACAAGGAAGCAACAAGATTAGAATATAAATTTTATCTTATTGGGAAATAATTCTCATGAAACATTACTTGATCTCTTGATACGTAGTTATTATTTTTATATAAAAGAGAGTGTAGTATACACATTATGAAGAGAGTGTGGTAAAAGAGAGCGGTGCATTTCTCAAACTAATAAGTGATACTTTAGGTATAAAACTCACACTCTCAATAGTTTAGGAATGAAACTAAAAAAAGTTAATCTAAGTTTATTTTTGATAGTTATCTCATTTTTATTTACTAATTGTTGTACTACTGATCTCAATGGCTACTAAAAGAGAAGGAAAATAAATTATTAGGCAGGATGCCAATCACTCAAGTTGGTCTTACACGCTTACATGTGCTTTACGTACTCATATTATCTAGAAAATATCAAATTAGGTTAAATTGTTCATTGAGTTAGGTGTTAAGAATTTCATATCAACTTTTTAACGGATGAGTGATCTATTTATTATGTTGTGGACAATTCTTATCTTTTGATTTTATTTTAGGATTAGGTTAGGCATAAGATTCATTTTTTAGAGTTAAATTAGTTTTAAATTGTCAATACAATAATTCAGGTAATTACAGAACTCACCGTTTAATAATAATGTCAGAATATAAATATAAACAAAAATAAAAACAATTCATTTCCTCTGAACTTTTTTTTGTAAATTTTTACTGTTTAATGTTTTTGCTATTATAAATATGTCTTGTCTTAAAAGAATGATTAGAACTGATCAAATTATTTATTTTGAATAATACTATCATTTTACAGCTTCAAGAATATAAGTATCGAAGTACTACGCTATCTAGGAAAATAAATACAAGAAATAAATAAAAATAGAAAAGACGGAGTGCTGCAGGACAACCAAACAACCAAACAATTACCTTTAAACTTTGAGAAACTCTAACTCAGGCAAAGATTACCTTCCATTGGTACTGGACTCTGCACAACTTAGGTACAAAAAGTAAGGTGACTACTAAGAACATGTGCAACTCAGTAGCATCATCAACTGCCCTAAAATAAAGTGTTGACAAAGAATCGTTTACATTGCTCACATATATTTCAATAAAATCTTTATATAAAGACGAACTAGTAGTTAAAGACAACATCAAATTATTTCAATCAATTTTCGAATTCCTCTATAAATTAGAGAAGGAAATACGTTATTTTTATCAATAAATAAGTAATGTATACATGATGATATTAATGCAATGCATATGTTGTGTATATATTCGCTTTCTCCATCGAATAGTTAGGAATCATGAGAGACTCATGAGGTCCATATGGTGTCCTAGCGTGCAAATTTAATGTACATATAACTTGCAGACATACAACTTCGATTCATATGTAATATATGCAGTGTAACGATTTGATTTCCGTCGTTAAGGAAAAGCCAATGGGGAAAGAATTGGGCCAGTAAACTTTTTGGTAGTAACTTGAGATTTTCTAGCATAGTCCAGATTTAGATGAAATCGGAGTCAGTGAGGTTTAGGGAAATCTGGTATTGAATGAGAGATTTAAGTATGAATTTTATTACATGAGTAGATAACTAAGACATTAAGGAACCCGTACAACTTTACGGAATTGATTTCGAACGAGTAGAACTCCCGAAACTGATCTTAGCGTGAACAAGCTGTTTTTGAATGTCATGGGTTGATGGTGTGTTGTGAAATAGGGGTTTGAAACTCTAATTCCGACGTTCTGTCTCCGCGCAAGCCGCCAAAGCGGGATTAGTGCCGCCAAAGCGGGGCCGCTGTAGTGATGAGGTCCGCTGTGGCAGGACAGTCGCGACTTACGTCGAAAATAAACCCCAAAAACGTTATATTCTGCAATTTTCGACCTTAAGAGCTAAGGAACGACCCAGTGGTATTTCTTGAAGGTTTTCCACCTTTTCTAGCACCAAATGTAAGGTTTTTACTCTCCGAATCCATTTTTCGATTCGTAGAACTTAGTTTCTTGGGTAATTATCAATGAGGGGGGATTTTGATTTGGAAATTATGGTGGAAAAAGCCCTAATCTGGGTATGGGGATCAAGGGTTTGACCTAGGGTTGATATTATTGATTATGATCCGGGTATTTAGGTCTTGTTTATTGATCCACATGTTATATTGATTGTTTGTAGACCAAGAACAAGCGAAAAGAATCCGGAAAGGGAAGAATCAAGTTTCTTAGGGGATTCAAGCTTTGTTCGAGGTAGGTGATGGTTGTGATTTCATGTTTTGCGTGATGTATGTTGGTAATTGCGTCATTGTTATGCATATATGTATATGAATGAATCTTATTGATCACACCTAATGTAATTGAGTATGAACGAATGATTGTATGCCATGAATCAACACTTGATTGTATAATTATGAGAATGTACATTGTGATTGTGGCTTGTTGAATGGATCGGGTGTCACGTTCCGACACACTAACTGGAATCGGATGTCATGTACCGACATATATATTGGATCGGGTACCACGTTCTGGTACACTAACTTGGATCGGGTGCCACGTTCCGGCGCATATATGGGATCGGGTGTCACATTCGGCACACTAACTTGGATCGGATACCACATACCAGTACACTAACAATTTGGGTATGGGTTCAATGAAAGGACCATTGAATGGGGTTCCATGAGAGGACCATTGACTTGTCATATATACTTGTTATTGAGAATGTGGAATTGAACATTGCTTCGGAAATGATAACTGATATATATATATATTGTATATGCATGTTTTACTTTGTTGTGACTACTTATATATATTTCGCTTACTGGAATAGTCGTGTGATCCTACCAGTACACTGTGGTTGTTTACTGATGCTGCACTTGTTTGTTCTTTGTTGAGTACAAGGAATCTTCAAGCGGCTATTGATAGACCTCAGTTATGTGACTATTGAGTATGACCGGATTCAAGGGTGAGCCAGTTCTTTCAGGCTGTCATGGATCTCTCTTGTTTAAGTCCACTCTTTTCGGACTCAGACTATTTGTTAAAGGTGTTTGTTTAGTTTCGGGGTTGTACCCCTTGTTCTTTGACTTATCGTTAGTAGAGTTTTGGTACAATGACTTTCAGGTTCTAGAGGTTAAGACTTCCACGTTAGTTTGGTTAGTTATTTGTTTAACCCTTTGGAGTTTATGGGAACTCTGTATTTCTTTTGGTAATTTATAATTTAAACCTGCTTTCGTATCTTTAAATGCCTAGTTTCGTTAAGTTGCTTAGTCGGGTTGTAGTAATGGTTCTCCCACCAGAGGGTTAGTGTGGGTGCCAATCACGACGGTCTGGGTCGTGACAAAGTTGGTATCATAGACCTAGGTTCATTGATCTCATTGTACCAAAACGAGTCTAGTAGAGTCTTGCGGAACGGTACGAAGACGTACTTTTCTTCGAGAGGCTATAAGACTTTTGTGCTATGACTTGAATCCAATTGGTATTTGGGTGATACAAATTGGTATCTTTCTTTCTTCACTCTATGTTCCGAACTAGAGCAACAAAAGTGGTAACACCATCACTAGCAAGAGAGGATGTGTATAGATTACCGGCAGTTGAATAGGGTCACCATTCGGAACAAGTATCCTCTGGCTCGAATAGATGATATTTTGACCAGTTGCAGGGTGCATTAGTTTTCTCTAAGATTGATCTAAGGTCTGGCTATCATCAGTTAAAGATTAGGCCTTAGGATATACCAAAAACGGCATTTAGGACCCGCTATGGGCACTATGAGTTTCTAGTTATGTTGTTTGGGTTGACAAATGCACTTGCAGCTTTCGTGAGTTCGATGAATGGTGTGTTCAAACCATTTCGTGATTCGTTTGTTATAGTATTTATTGATGACATTTTGATTTATTTAAAAAGTGAGGAAGAGCATGCCGACCATCTTCGTATTATTCTAGGTGTTTTTGGGAAACAAAAGTAGTATGCGGAATTTTCTAAGTGTGAATTCTGGTTGAATTCGGTTGCCTTTTCGGGGCACGTAGTTTCAAGGAAAGGGGTATTGGTAGATCACCAAAAGATTAAAGCACTCAGGAATTGGGTCCGACCTAGTTCTGTGACTAAAATTAAGAGTTTTGTGGGGCTCGCTACCTACTATCGTTGCTTGTGAATGGATTAAGGTCAGATTTGCAGATTCATGTTTATGGATGACAACATTCAAGAAGTTTTGGTAAGGGACGACTAGATAATGAACACCATTACTTTGGAAAATGCATTTAGTATTGTTGTCATAACATGTATGGGTTGTTTAGCGAATGATGAAATTAAGTTATGTCAATTGAGGCTAGAAGTTAAACTATGA